CTTAGCTTTAAGAGTCCCACTCAAACATGTATCATTTAGCTTTAAGAGTCCCACTCAAACATGTATCATTTAGCTTTAACAATTTTTTTCTATGAATACATAAAAGTAAACAAACGATAATATTCATTAATAAGTCATACCTAGTAACTTTTGTAAACAACCAGTAAAATGAAACACACCTGATGTTAGAAGTTGACAATATCAGACTGTGATATTTCCAGTATGCCTCTTATCAACATTTACCTTAATCAGTCTTATTAAACATAAACTCATAAACAACACTTCATTTTGCCATATCTTTATTCTGAAGATACAAAGCTGCATTAACCAACAAGGCTGGTATTTCTAGCAGTATTAATTAACAATAACTTATGGTGAAGAAAACTTACCCTTAATGATAGTGTTTGTGTTTTATTTTTATGTTTTATCATGTATATGTTTAGGTGGTGCATGTGTTTTTATAATTATTCAAGCTATTGGTTTATGTTTATTTCACAATATTATGTAAAGCTACACAAGAGCTATTTTGTGCATAGCTGTTCCCAATTTTGAAATGACAGGTTAGAGCAGATTTTCTCAAACTGGGATCCACAATTCGTGTCTGAAATTTCATAAAAAAAGATTTATAGAATAAAATAATTTTTCATAAAATTTAACTTGTATGAATTAAAACATTTAATTTTGGAATACAGTTTTTCATGTACACGGAATATTTTTCTTTCAAAACAAAAACCATCAATGGGTTTGGGGGTTCACAAAACATTTTAAATTAAAAATTATTAAAGTTTGAGAACTGATGGACTCACAGCATCCACTGCCAACTCTGAAAACACTCTTGTCTGACTGAATATTGAATGTCACTCTCACTCCTATTTCACACCCATGACCCCAAGTACAAAGACATTTTGGTGGCAATGGGTTATGAACATTTTGGACACACTAACCACACCTGGACCAGTTTGATGATGGGCATTTTTTTTCTTTAACTTTGTATTACATTTCTAAAACTAATTAACATTCAGATACAATCTAATATTCAGCTGATAATATCTTATAAACAACTGATGTGGAATCCAAGTTATATTTTATCCCAGATTATTTTACTTCTCGGAGTTAAACCTTTCAGAACCTTCTCAATAATACGTGTGAAAATAAGTAAACCCTGGTCATTTTCTTGTATTTCAAAAAGTTTATTTGGAACAATTGCATTTGTATAATAGATAACAATATTTCTGAAGTCAACATTTTTTTTTTCCCCCTCACTAGGTTTCTCTAGTTGTGATTTATCTATTTGTTTTCTCCTATATGATTTTCCAATATTTATAAAAGTCCTTGAATGAATCTTTTTGTGAGATAAACAAACTTCAACTAATCAAACAAGTTATTACTATATATAAATATACAAAACCTGAAAGTATGATAATTCATACTTCATATCTAATCTTTTCAGTACAGGCAAAAATGAAAATAGCTATCGGTAGAATGGCTCATCCCCTGAAACATAGGCGGTAGAATGGCTGATCCCCTGAAACATAGGCTTTTCTTTAATTCCAATATGGTGTATTTTTTGGATTTGTTGTTTTTTTGTGCAAAGAATCATAATTTCTTTTTTTTTTTTTTATTAAATAGTGACATTGATCTTTAAACTCCAAAATCAACAAGTTTTTTTCCCATTAGAGGTGGAAGTGACCTTTACAGTTTGATTAAAATCTGCTGTTAGAATTATGCTAATTAGTCGCCAAACAAAAAGCAGATGTCTAAAGATGGGCAGACAGTGTCATTGTTATACTCCCCCCCCCCCAACCTTTTTCTGCAAGATATTTAAACTTATGTATATGTGACTAAACTGTTGTTGTCTAAATAAGTAATGTTCCATTTAATTAACATTAATCAAATTTGAATATTCAAAGTCAACATTTTTTTGGCTAGCATTTAAATTTATGACAGTGCACTTTTTAATCTTTTACTTAAAACTTCTGAAGTTTTAAGTAAATTATACTCGTTAAAGAGTTAAAATCTAACAATTCAAAACTTTAGTACACATCAAGATTTGATACAGATATCCTGAAATAACGAGTGCTGCAACGTTAAAAATACTGCTCGTGTTTACAGTAAAGATGACTAGACAAAGAAATAGTATTACAGTTTTGTTTAATTTTTTATTTCTAAAGCACTTTGTCAATTGGCAGTTCAGAAGTATCTTATGTGTGACCATATAATAATACAAAGAATAAAAGATCATTTCACGAAACTGTGGACTTTTCTCAAGATACTGATAGTTTATGTAAAAAGCAAAGGTAGAAAATACTATTTAAGGTGGTCAGATGTTTCTGTTAAGGACGAAAATACTGTTGCTACAGTATTAAAGGTATATTAAAGAAACCGGAATGTTGAAGCATCATGCAATAGTAAACAGAAATGCTTATTTCTTATATACCAAAAAAATCATAAAAAAAACAAAACAGATTCCATGTAACACATCTACACCAAATGTAAAAACTGACAATTTATATAACACATCAATCACATAATTGTACTATATACAAACAAAATAATAATAACATAAAATCATGTACCTTTTTAGGATATGTAGCTATCAATTGATTAATTTGCTAAATTACTCTTAAGTCATTTTTTACAATTATATCATAAAATCAAAGTAACTGAAATCCAATTGCTGTTCAGTCTCAATATACTTGTACTCTTTTGATATTTATAATTTTTATTATGTAAAAAAATTGATTCCATTCTGAAATGAGGATGCTTACGTAGTTGGTGGTCCTATAATATTTTTTTACATACTTAATATGCTTTAGAAATCTTATAACCTCATTGTCAGAACTGTTGAAAACTATGGTAGTTCTTTGGTATCGATATCTCATTTTGGTCTCCTTAAGCCCTGAAAAGAAAGAGAAAATTAACTAGTTATTTTAGGTAACTACTTAAAGAAATGTTTTATAACATTTATTTGACCTAAGGAATGCCTTTTCCTTTTTGTCACTAAGCACAAAGCTACAAAAAGGACTATATGTGCAGTGTCTGCTGCAGGTATGAAAACCTGTTTTTTTAGGATTATAAGCCTTCAGATTTACTACTGAGCCACTGGGGGACGTGGTGAAAAAAACATTGAAGTTAGTTTCATTTTTTAACTTTATGACCAGTTTGTTTGTTTGTTTGTAATTAAGCACAAAGCTACCCAATGGGCTATCTGTACTCTGCCCACCACGGGTATCTAGCGTTGTAAGTCCGCAGACATACTGCTGTGCCACTGGGGGGCTTTTTGACTATAATATCTTGAAGGGAAAAGATACAGAAGCAAGAATGTATCCAAACTACTAATTATTTGATACCCAGGCATACATTTTTACTACTAGCACTTTTAATCCATTCTTATAAGGTATCAAATTGAAAATATTATCAAAATGTTGATAACTTTTAAAGAAAATGTGGTTAATACTTACGGCAGCTTCTAATTCACCCTCTTGTAGGACAAGTTTTTCATTCAAATTTGAAACGTGTTCACTTAAAGTTTCAAGTTGTTCTTCGTATTTCATGATGACTGCATCCATATTTTGCTGTAAAAAATACAGTCAGTCTCAGAGAACTTATCTAACTTTAGTTGTAAGACATCATACCTCAGCTTTCACATGTTTCCTTTTTCTAACTACTTGAGCCTGGTAGAGCTTATTCAAAACTTACATTAAAATTCTCTTTCCCATACATCAAACTTGTCACACAATGCACTCTTAATGTAACTGCCTTACAACCAGTTATTCAGAAATACCATATACTCTAGAATAATTACATTTAAAATACACTTTAGTCCCTTTCTTTAATATTTATTACGAATCCTATCTTTTTTTTTCTAGTTAGAACATGCTAAAAGCTAAACACATTGTAATATTCATATTAAAACAACTTTTCAGTATAATATTATTTTATTGCTAAATTTCTACTTCATTCTGTTAGTTTCCAACTACAACGAGTCTCCTTCGTGAGTGAAAATCAGAGAAAATGTATCTGAGCAGGTATGTTGATATAATAATTGTGGAGAAAGATGTATTCTTTAGATATAAGAAAACAAAAATATTTAAGTACGAGATAAAAAATACAAAGATAAATATACAAAAAATATTCAGTGATGATATACCAACTTGTAAAACTAATACAGCTAGAAAAAAAAAGGTGTGTGGGTTCACCTTCATTTCTTCTGAAAGATCATCTACATTGTCAAGTTGTTCTTGCATTGTGTGTTGAGCTTCCTCTGCGAGAGTAAGTCGTTGTCGTAAAGCCCAACACTAGGAATAGGATTCATTCCAAATAAGTCTCTTATTTTTTCTTTTTAAGAGCTAATAAAATCAATAAATTTAACTACACCTAACAATAAAACCAAAATGAAACCATTTTTTTTTGCATGATTCTGAAGACTACAGATGTGTAATAACTATTTAAACACGATGTAAGTTTTAAAAATATTCTTATATTACTCTGCAATATTTAAGAAAAGCATGGTATGTGTATTTTGTTCACACAATAATAATTACTTGTTTGTTTAAGGTGGGTCATACACTCCATTGTATACTCTGAATAGTAAAATATTTTATGAGCAATATCTCTTAATTTTAAATTCACTATATCTGCTCTTTTCATATAAAAAAAATACTATTTATACAATTTCAAGTTCATTTCAGTTTTGAAGGCATATAATATCAACTAAAGGTGGAAAAGCAGTTTATTTGAACTTACCTCAGAATTAAATGCAACAGCTTTGCTGTCAGCTTTTTGGATTTCCACAATTAATTGACCTATTCGTCTCTTCAAGTAACTTGTCAAGCTGTCTTTGTTTTCTGTTGATTCCTGTTCTTTTTCCTAAATGAAAGCTGTACACTTGTTACGGGCATCACAGTAATTAACCATTTCATATTTGTACCGAATATAGACAGATAAAATATCTCTTATTAAATAGAAAAAAAAAGAGCTGTTAAGATTTTGCAAATCTTGTGGTGCACAGTGAACAGATTTAAAAAATGGAAAGTACAATTAATAGATCTAATAATGGCTGGAGACAGCTTGAATGGGTAATGAAGAAAAACTTTAATATAAGTTTAACAGAACAGCAAATGTA